CTGGACCTTTAGTCACTCTCAGGACTGGAACTGACCTCACCCTTGTTGCTCAACTGTCAGCCAAACAATAGGCAGGCCCATGGGGGGAACAGCTGCATCAGGGAAATATGCACCCCTTTGAACAATGAACCATGCCGGCTCTAAAGAAGAGCGTTCACCCAGGGATAAAGCTCAGAAGACGGGAATGGCGAGGAAAGAGGAGGGATGGAAAGGGTAAACCTAGGGAAGAAGTGGGAAGAATGCTGTTACACTGTGGGGATTCCCATCAGTGTCATGACCTGAAATGTCTATGAACCGTTGAATGGAAAACCAGTTTGCCTTATCAACTGGCACTCAAATGACAGTGTAAATAAATAAAACACACCCAAGCCTGAGACCAGTACGAGGTGGTACCTGACTATCGCTGTTGGTTTTTGAGAAGTCCCACAAGAGATGACACTGATAGAAGTGCGTGTGTGTGTGTGTGTGTGTGTGTGTGTGTGTGTGTGTGTGTTGGGGGGCGGGGCAGAGGAGGAATCAAGTGAACACAGAGACAAACGAACAGACTTCTGGACCAGTTGAGGCTGGCAAACTCCCTGAGACTGTTGCCCAGACATCATCTTTAAACCTTGAGCCCAAAGTAGCCACTGAGGTCATAGTATAACTAAATAACAGATTTCCCCCCAATATAAAGACTACCATCTATGAGTGTTGTGCTACTGTAAATAATTATCTCCATGAAACCAGTCAACACTTACTTTGAAACAAAGATTAGAAGCTGGGCGATGGCGACTGGGGAGGTGGCAAGTAGATCATGGGAATGGTACAAGTAAGAAAAAGAGTAATGAGACGGTGCACACAGTGTAAGGAATGGAACCAAGGGCCCTGAACAATCTGTATAAAATCTGTTGAACGGGAACCTCAATTGCTATGTAGACTTTTACCCCAAACACAATAAAATACTACTTTTGAAAACTATCACGCACAAAACGCCCTTAGACCACAACGGTTGGTGTGCAATAGAATGAAACATTGTCTGGTCCGGTGCCAGGCCTCCTTGTGATCAGTTGGGGACAGAACCATGGCGATCCATAGGGTTTGCACTGGCTGGCTTTCATAAGTAGATGAC